TTTTTGAAGTTAAACTTCTTAAAGGAATTCACAGATAGTTGCGTTAAATGTTTAATGCCGGCGTGAGTGGGAATGTTAAGAGTGAGAGAGATAGAGACAAAGACAAAGGCAAAGACAAAGACTAATATTAAGATAAAAAATGGCTGCAGCATGAAATGAACTAAAAATAAATCAAAAGAATTATCACTTCCGTAGTGTGGCATAGGCATAACTTTTTTTAATAGCAACTGTTTTAATTGACTACTATTTGCAAAATGTGATGAGGGTGGAAACGATAATTTCTCTCAATTCAGACTAACATCATTATTATGCGGCTGATATGATATTTTAATTCACAAATGAATGCAATAAATAGCATTTCCTTCTGTTATATATAGAGCACTTGGAGATTCATTGCAAATAACTTTGGTAACCAGTTTCAGTCAATGCGAAAAATGTCCAATCCAAATCCATAATTAAAACAAGTTTCAATAAAATTGCTGCTGAATCCATGAAACTTCAACTAAAATGTTTACAAAATTTATCAAGAAGACTCGAAGCAGATGTGAATATGATTTTTGGAAGCAATTACATACATATATATGTATGTAGCATATTAAAAAATTTATTGGGAATATTATACGGTTTGCCAGACGTACTGATTTTATCAGCACAGTACTAATTTTTCAGCTCTTTTACTGATTTTATTCATTTCTTCAATCAGTACGCTAATGTCCTGATTTTTCAAAATGTGTACTGAATTTTCAATTCAAACAAAATACTTTCTGAATTTCTTAAGGTTTTTACATAACGTTGGAACTTACTTAAACTCTACTTTGAAAAGTAAGAAGTAATTTAATTATAGTTGACATGTTTCAGATAATGTTTGATATGACCAACAAATTAATACAACAAAAATATTAATTGGTTTATGGGCATATCGCCAGGTCGTTACGTACCAGTTGCGATAATATGATGGAGGTTAAATTATTTAAAAAGAGGCTGACGTTTTTTGTTCGAGTGTTGCTAGTTATCTCGAAAATAACTTTCAGTTTAAAAACAACAAAATTGAATATTCGAATGGCTTTTGCCCATAATTTACTATTCTTATTTCACTGACATTGTAAAAGAGTTTTGCATACAAAGCATAGAGTTAGATACTCTTTTTAGCGAATTCTTAGTCTTTCAGAGTTTTTGCGTAGTTGAAAAAGTTAGTTTAAGCCATGAGGAAATATAGACGAAGTCCTTAAATAGTGGTACTTTTCCACAGCTTTAAAAAATTTGTATTTTTTTTTTTCAATACCACACTCAAACGAAGCAACTGAGATGATCTTAAGTACAAAGTTTGCTTCGTGGCGCAAAGCGAGAAAACGGCTTCTAATAAAAAATTTTTAAAGTGAACTTCATAATAAAAGTAATTTTAAAATGAAATGTATAGAATTCTTTGATTAGTTAAACACTGAAGATGGAAATGATCTCATTATTGCTATTCAAAAATGTCATAAATATAAAATAATTTAGTGGCTTTTGTGTACACTCATGTTAAAGTGAATAACACGTTTATTTTTTATGAACTATATTTTATTAATATACCAAAATATTGTTAAAAACAACTACTCTGGCGTTTTAAAGTATTATCTGATACTTACATTCATAATTTTGCTTTGAATAAAAATGTACTGATAAGTACTGATTTTTTTAGCATGAAAATGTCTAATGTACTGATGTCGCGAATAAAAAATCTGACAACCCTAGAATATTATTATATATTTATATAAATATATATTATTATTAGTAATAATGCTAATAATAATAAGAATTATGGATATTAAAAAAATGTTTGGGATATTTTTTAAACATCGGAGACCTCTAAACTGTGCTGAACTTCCAACGACATTTTTAGGTGTCAAGTTTTCTAAATTTGCAGGTTCAACGCAGCTCTCTCATTCGATATTCTTCGATACCATTAACCATCGTATTTAATTAATTACAGTGCTAGGATTATGGCCTATTTTTATTTATTTTTGTTAGTTTATTCATTCAATGGCTCACGGCCATTTTGTGATTTAGCTCAGCAAAGAAGTGTAAAAGTTTTAAATATCTTCATATTGAAGATCATTAAAGAACAATTTACCAAGAACTTTTGTTTTCCGTTATGTCATGCAATTGCATGCAGAGTAGGTGTTGGAAGTTTTTTTCTCATATCACCAAAACAACTTTTACAGGGGTCGTTCTGAGAGGCACTAACAGCGCCAGTGACAGACAGTGCGAGTGTCTTTTCTTTTTAAGCTAAGATCTAAACTTTCAATTTTTCGAAAAATCCCGAGCAAAATGGGAATTTTTTCAAAAAATTATAAGAGTTGCGGGAAAAAGATTTAAAGGGTTGGAGAAGTTTAAAAAAAAATCCTTCCAAAATGCGTATCCACTAAAGCAAAAAAAAAATTAAATTTTTGATGAGTCAAGCAATTTTCTTGTACTTCATTGAGCTTTCCTTTAATGCCAGTATTTCAGCTATCCATCTGACTTCATTTAGTATATGCGCAAGACTTTTATACTTCCGTAACCACCTCTTTATTGTTATTGACATTTGATCGAACTAAAAAGTTTGTAAACCACTATCTTATTTTGACAAAATTTCATTAAAAAAAAGAAAACCTTATCAATAAATTGAGCGGATACAGACTTTTATGAATCAAATAAAACAATAAAATTAAAGAAAAAATATTTTTGAGCATTAATGACTGATACCAAAAATATTTGCAATCAAGCAACAACACCGCTAAATTGCTGACAATTTTTTTGTAGACATTATCGATCAATTGAATTGGAGTGTATTTTTTTGAGAATGAAGTATGTATACAGGTACATACATAAATCGATGTTGTGAAAAATACATATGTATATGTATGTATGAGCATAATATATGGAAAAAAACTGCTTACCTTGTAGTCTATATAATCTACACACTTACTAAGTTATAGCCTAGTATAGAAACACACACCTTTTTTTATCAGCAACAGCCAGTGAATGAGTAAGATAAAAAATGTTAGCAAACAAACTGCTGCACTGTTGAAGTACTGCCAATTGATTGCTAGAGTAAACAAACATAACTACTTACTTAAACAATACAGTGATGGTCAAAATATATGGAACTGTAACGACTAGTCTACAAAGGTGGCAAATAACAGTTTTGAAGGCAAATGCTAAGATGTTTTTATCAATATT